ACTGCGGGGGGGGGGGGGGTGGCCAGAAAGGGTAGGTTGCAGTCTGAATGAGTCTTAACCCTCTTTAAGACAAGAGTTTTTTGGTAATTATGCAAATAAGAACTTCATTTGTCTTTGGCTTCAAGTCCTGCCCCTCCCAATCTGGGGTGAAGGGTTGCAGGTAGCACCACCTCCAGCTGTAGTGACCATACCCACAAATGCAGCCTCTGCCTCTCTGATCCACACAGCCCAAACCCACCTCTCAGACAGGGGATGGGTCAGAGCCCTGGAGGAGAGTGAAGGCCTGGGTTCCTCTGAGGAGATGTAGGGTGTTCTAGCTTGTCTGAAACCACACTCTCTCAGGTTCCTGCCATAGCCTGTCCTCTGTTCCTCTTAGGGACTAGCTGCCTCCTTTCTCTAGGTTGGGGTTGGTTCTCAACATTGGTCTTCCCCTGTGGCTTGGTATGGACCCAGGTGGCTTTGTCTGAGTGACTGACATGCCCCTGGAAATGGTTCTTGGCTCCAAGTTTCCATGGAAACCAGGGCAGGCTGTTTTAAGCAGTGTCAGCTGGCTGGGGGTGGGCTGGGGCACTGAGGGTGGAGCTGAGCCTGAGTGCTCCTCTAGCACAGGCTTGAGTGGGCACTGTGGAGGGACCATGGCATACAGTGGGTTGCACACAAGGGGGCACTTCTGTAAGCTTTCTCCCTGGATTGCTAACGAGGGAGGATGAGGGACCAACTGCAGCCTCTAGAGAGAGAGAGGGACAGAATAGCAGTGGTTTGCAGGGCAGGAAGTTGTGTCTCCCCCCACCCCAGCCTTGGACTACAGGTCACTCAGCAGCTTACTCACAATTTAGTTACCCCCACCCAGATTAGGCAGCTGCAGTATTGTCACCTACCAGGCACCATTCCTGCCAGGGTGGAGGTGGGGTAGCTTCCCTGGCCAGTGGGGGGCACGTGAGGGGGGTAACCAGGCAGAGTGGTGCTCGCCATGTCACGACCTGGAAAAACACAAAGGGGAAGGGGTGAGGCCTGGAAGAAAGGGGCCTGCCTCTACTCACACCAGGGTACTCCATGGAAAGAGGAAAGAGCCCTGCAGATGTGTAGGAGTATGTGTGCAGCTCTGCCCCTGAATGAGCAGGTCCACGTGTGCCTCATTAGCTAAACTTCTGTCTACAATCAGTTGTGTGTGCACCTCTGTGCTGTGTAGCTCTTTGTGTCTCTTTGTGTGTTTGTGTCTGCCTTTGCCTCTGTCTCTTTGCATTCCAGACCTAGATGGAGATGGGAGAGAGATGACCTGGTTTTACTCCTCATTCTCAGCAAGATATTCAGCTGTGGTCTCCCCAGCAGCCAAATGGACCTCTATCATCTTGTTTACCTCTCCACTCCTTAGCACCATCTTTCCTTCAGGCTTAGAGGACACCTACCACTAACCCTATGGGGGCTAATGGGTATTCCTTGTCCTCTCCAAGTGCAGCTGCAGGTGCTGGGCCTGGCAGCTGTGGAGAGCAAGGGGCCAGCCAGTGGGCTATTTTGCTGTTAGTGTTTATGGCACTTAAATGATAGAAAACCATCCCTGAAGTGAATCAGTAGCTTTGAGCCAACAGTGCAAGTGGATGGGATCAAGTTCCAATAGCAAAATCTGCTGCCCCCACCAGCTGTACCACTCTACCACTCTAATGCCTCAGTCAAACCCTAGAGTCACAGAACCAAGGATAGCTGTCCCAGTTCACTTTCTTTTCATTAGTTGAGCCCTAGTCATCATCATCCTTGTGGCTATTGCCATTCTCCCTTTGAAGATGACCTCACTTTCTACACTCCTGAGATGGATGGGTTTCCTCACTCCTACGTAGACACATCTGAGTCATCCTTCCCTAGGAATGCATATCTACGGCTTAAAGTTTCTGCATTTCCAGCAGGCTGCTGAACATTTTCATTAGCTGTCCCTTTGTCACCTCAAACTTAACCAGTATAAAAAGCAGATTTGTCTTCTCCTCAATCAGTTCTATCGACCCCCTTGAAGACCTTAAGAGCAAAACCTTGGAGTCCTTGGCCTAGCTGTATTTCTCCTACTCTAGATGAAGTCTGCCACCAAGTGTTATCTATTCTGCTTAGTAATGTCTGTCACAGATGTCTACTTCCTCCACTACCTTCACAGCTTGGCTTCTAAGCACCTGCCCTTGATGGGCCACAGCAGTTTTTTGTTATGTATTCCCAGCCTTCACCTTATTCCTCCTGTTAATCCAAATGTAGCCACTTGGCTAGTCCTCATGAAACAATGTTTTGTTTTTGTGACGCTACTTTCCTTGTAAAAACCACCATTGATTCCCTGTAGTCTATAGTTTTAATCAAAATGCTATGGCTTTCAAAGACTCCCAGGTACTCTCTCCAACCAACTTTCTCAGCTGATTCTCACCCTTCCTGCTTTAATTTGACTATTTTAACTGCCTTATACACTATGAACAGCCGTGCTTTTTGTCATGATCTTTTCTTCTTCTTTGTAGTTTTCCTTTCCTTCCAGCTAAATCCTTAAAACCTGACCATTCTACCCATCAAAGAAGTTTCTCTCTTCCAAACTTCTATATCATCTGCATTCCATGGTTTACTATGCCCTTACATTTCATAATGCATCAGCCTGTTGTTTCATAACATGGCTTGATTCTTCAAACAGGTCACGAGCAACCTGAGGCAGAACCCTGTCTTTTGCATTACCCTGAATAGTTGATAACATGGTAGATGTACAATAAATACTTGATTGATCATTGATCATTATATTGTACTTATAGCAAATTCTTTTTTCTTTTTATTATTATTATTATTATTTTTTTTTTTTTTGTGACAGAGCCTCAAGCTGTCCCCCTGGGCAGAGTGCCGTGGCATTACAGCTCACAGCAACCTCCAACTCCTGGGCTCAAGCGAATCTCCTGCCTCCGCCTCCCAAGTAGCTGGGACCACAGGCACCCGCCACAACACCCGGCTATTTTTTGGTTGCAGCCGTCATTGTTGTTTGGCGGGTCCGGGCTGGGGATTCGAACCCGCCACCTTAGGTGTACATGGCTGGCGCCTTAGCTGGTTGAGCTATAGGCGCCGAGCCATTATTATTATTTTTTGAGACAGAGTCTCACTCAGTCGCCTTGGGGCTGAGTGCCCTGGTGTCATAGTTCACAGCAACCTCAAACTCTTGGGCCCAAGCAAATCTGTTGGCTCAGGCTCCCAGGCGATTCTCTTGGCTCACCTGGGACTATAGGTGCCTACCACAATGCCCGGCTATTTTTAGAGACAGGGTCTTGCTCCTGCTCAGGCTGGTCTCAAACCTGTGAGCTCAGGAAATCCACCAGCCTGAGCCTCCAAGAGTGCTAGGGTTACAGGCGTGAGCTACGAGTGCCTGGCATAATATTTTTAGTTTTAGTAGAGACGGGGTCTCACTCTGGCTCAGGCTGGTCTCAAATTCCTGAGTTCAAGGAATGTGCCCATCTCGGCCTCCCAGAGTGCTAGGATTACAGGCGTGAGCCACTGCACCCTACTGTTATAGCCAATTCTTGATGGGTTATTAATTTTCTTCTAATTGTTTTATATTTGTTGAACTCCTTTAAAGAGATAAGGACTGAGACAAAATGTAAATGTTTGAATATGCTTTTTCTTGAAAGATAGTTTAAATAATAGATTATAAATCTTTACAGAATAATGAGAGATTTATAGGGAGGGACTCATATATTGTGACTCAGCTTTATCATACAATAGAATAATTTTCCTTTATATATATCTAGTATAATTAATACCTTACATTTCCTAAAACTCAAGACCAACTACTCTCTCAAGAGTAGAACTGCCAAGCAAGAGATCACTTTTGACCCCTAGAGAGATAGAAGAAAGATTTAGTTTGTTTTGTTGTGAGTTTTCTTTTATTGGCTTCTATTGTCAATAAAAAGTGTACTCCTTCTAACCATCTCAGTGGTGTGGACCTAAAGTGGACAGTGACAGAGAGAGATTAATGATGTGGCACTTATTGGTCAAAAAAGGCCTAAAACAGAAGGGAGTTAGGGAAGATGTAGAGGTCTTGAAGCCAGACAGATACAGAAACATAATTTCTCCTGCTCTGTAATCTTAAAGTCTACAAAGCAGCCAGGAAAAGGAGAGTGCCTCTTCCTTAATAAACAGGAATTTAAATGCATCTGAATTTGATTCGCAGCTGCATGATTCGCACAACCTGTCACACATGAATTCCTTGTAATCTAAGGCTTTGTCACAAAATCTCCTACCTAGCTTTAGGAGAAAGGAAGAAAGATTGAATGACTAGAAAGATGTTTCCAGCTAACTTGGGGGCACTGCTATGGCAAAGATCATTTATACTGACTTCCTCTCTTGCAAAATAGTAAGGCCACCTCCAGCATGTAGAAAGTTTTGCATGCTAACGGTCACCCACTGAACTGTGGTTGAAAGGCACACTTCCAAATTCTGTTTTAAAAATTGAAGCTGGGAAGTGCCATGCAGAAATTTTTTAAATCTGAGAGAAAAAGCATGCACACACTGGTGTTCTGCATACAGCTGTGCTCCTGTTGCTATAACCTCAGTATCACCAGCAAGAAGTGCCTGTTCAGGACCCCTAAGCCAACAAAGGTGTTAGCCGCTGCATACAAAGCACTATCAATGGCTTCATTAGTACACAGGTGACACCTGAAGAGCAGAAAAAAATTGACCAAACTCTTTCCAGAGCCATATATTTTTCTGGAACACCATTGTCAATAATGGAAAACACATACTGCAGGAAGTTTTCAAATTACTAAGTCTGTCATACCATTTGCCCAGCAGCATTCTTTGAGCAAGCCTCTTCTAGTGAAAGAATATGAATGGGTAATGGAATCTGTGCAAGGAAGAACTAACAAAGCACTGGGCTTTGCAGGACTACAGATTATAGATGGATAGACAGACAGACAAACAGGGAGTACAGACAGACTCTAAAACTGTAAGGCAGCACCAGCACCTCCTTTATACAGATAGGCAAATGCATAGAAAAAGGAGAAAACAGATACATGGCAGAACACAGCAGTTATAAAATATGTGCCCTCCTAGAGAAAGCAGGAAAGGGATAGTGTCAGTCACATGAAAACAGCGCCAGAATCACAAATGGATTAAAAACCTACACATTATTACGAGAGAACAGACATTTCATGTTGGATACTTGTTTTCTAGGGTTTCAAAAGTTTTTTTTTCCTCCTAGAAACAGGATCCCACTCTTTTGCCCAGGCTGGAGTGTACTGGTATTATTGTAGTTCACTGTAACTTCGAATTCTTGGGCTCAAGTGACCCTCCTCCTTCAACCTCTGGAGTAGCTAGGACTATTATCGGCCCATGCTGCTATGCCCTGCTAACTTAAAAAAAAAAATTTATACAGATGGAATCTCACTGTGATACCCAGGCTGGGCTTGAGCTCACTCAAGTGATCCTCCTGCCTTAGCCTCCCAAAGTGCTGAGATTGTAGGCGTGAGCCATCATGTCCAGGGCAGCTTACAAAGTTTTTAAAGATGGAAGAGCCATCCAGATAATCAGTCTAACTTCCTTGTTTTAAAGATGAGGAAACGAAGGAACAGAGAGGAATAATGATAGCTAGAAATGACTGAGCCAATGTTTGAAGCCACATCTATGTCACACTGCCTCTTAATGGTAACATGAAGCCAGATACTCCCTCAAAATGGCCAAAGAAAAGGACAAGAAGTCTTCTGACAAAATTTCTTATCATCATGACTGTCATTAAGATTAGGCAAGGAGGGTGGTGCCTGTGGCTCAAGGAGTAAGGCGCCCGCCCCATATGCTCGAGGTGGTGGGTTTAAACCCAGCCCTGGCCGAAAACTGTAAAAAAAAAACAAAAACAAAAGATTAGGCAAGGGAAAGGGGGCACAAAGAATAAAAGATACCAAAAGTCTGTAGTAAGACTCCATGGGGTAAAGCATTAATCTCCTTTGAGAGTTTTGCAAAAAAAACAAAGGCTCTTCAAGAAAAAGTG